CCGAAAATTGCGGGTCGGGCTCCACCTAGGCGCGCAGGAGCCTCACTGCAGAGTCGGCCGCTGCCCAGAGTGCGGAGCGGGGAATGCGCGGCCTGAAGTCGCGACCAAGCCCCTGTGTGCCCACCCCACGGTCCAGGAGAGGCCAAGACCTGGGACTGGCCGGCGGCTGGATGGGCTCAGCGCAGGTTTCTTCGTGGGTCTGAAAACACTTATCTGCCTGGAAACGCACATGCCAGGCCATGCTGTTTGCCATTGGTCTCCAGCGGCCCTAAACCGGAGAACACACTGTAGATGCCCTTGGTCTGCTTGGAGGGAACGATTCAGTGAGCAAGCTGACAGCCCCACGCTGCCTCTGTTCCTCCCCTAGGAAGAGCCTGTCTGTTTCTGCCCAGAGTCCTTACCACCACCCTGCCTCAGCAGTAGGCACTGGTGTCCTGTACCCGGAGCTCAGTTCCAGGACCATCTCGGCAGGCTTTGAGGCAAGTGTGCCAGCGCCGAATTTCACATGCCAGCTCTGGGCAAAGATCGGGGACTGGTGCCTGCCTGAACCTATGCCCTGGCCTGTGTGGGGAGTCCTGGAGGTCAGGGGCCTGCAGGCCGATGGCTTTGTTGAGCTGTGTCCTAACCGGCAGGTGTGTATGTGCCTGGTAGGTTAAGAAGCCAGCCCTGAAGGGCTCTTAGAGGTCAGAGAGATAGAGCCTCTCGCCATACATGGGGGTAAACTGAGGCCTCCTGAAGCATGACACCTAACACCAAGTCAATGAGCAAGTCAAGGTTACAGCCAGGACTGCCCTCAAGCTCCATGTTGTTTACCTAACCCAGCAGCTTGTGCCCACACTTGGTTAGACAGAAAATGGCTGAAAAGCAATTTATTACCTCTGGATGTCATGGTCCCAGACCCCACCCAGCCAGCTAGGAGAGACAAGCCCAGGCCGAGTACCTGACAAGGAGCCCCAGCCTCCACCAGCCAATCAACTAGGAAGCTCTGGGCCGGCCCTGGAAGGGCCTGCAAATCCCTCCATGTGCAGCCCCACTCCAAACCCCACTTCCTGGAAGTATTCCTGCCCCTTCACCCCGAGATGATGTGCCGCTGAGCTGTCCAGGCTGCAGCCCTCAGGATCCTGCCCTCCCTGGCTTACTATGCCTGACCTCGGCCAAGGTCACTGGCCTCTCACCTCCCCTGGAGCAGACTCTGGACCCAGCCCTCTCAGAGACTTGGGGATGCTTGTCCCAGAGACACAACCTCCACCCCAAAAGGGCCTCAATCAAGAGCGGAGCCACCTCTGACATCTCCTCTGTCCCCAATCAGGTGCATATTATCTAAAGCCTGGAAAATTGAAGGGTATCTTAAATACACTAGGGGAACTTTAAAAAAACTAACCGTTTGGAGGAACCGTCTGTAAAGAAGAATGGAGCAAAAGAAAGGAAGTTCATAAAGAGAAGCAGAGCTTGCTGAATTAATTGCACCGGATGGGATGTTGGATACATTGTCACGGGGACCAAAGCTCCCAGAGGCAAGACCTTTGTTAGGAAATACGTGGGGCACTGCTGGTGCCCTGAAGAGAAACCCCAGGGCAAAATGGAGAAACCTGCTCCTGGCACCCAGAACAGCTGTTTAGCTGTGCAGACCAAGGAGGCCAGGATGCCACTGGGAAGACAGCTCAAGGATGGCAGCATGTGAACTCAAGTGAATGAAACCAGTCCAGGCCCCTGGGGGATACCAGTCTGCCTGACATAAAGACTGTACAGGCAATAAAGTCACGTGGTGCTGAGGAGAGTGGCTAGGGCACGAGCACAAGGGGCCTGGGCACTAGTACTGTACAGAAAAGGTGGGGCCATCAGAAGGAGCAAAAGGAGGGAAGACACATCCAAGGGACGTGGACAGAGGTGTGGCTGGCTGGCATCTGCCGGGAAGATGTGTTCCCAAAAGTCACGGACAGGTGTACCCACCCCAACCTTCTTGCAGTAGGGTTAGCTCATGCCACAGCCTGAAACTATCCTAAGAGAAAGGCTGGGTGCCCAGAGACTGAGGGAAATCTGCAAGGTACTTATCATGTCTCTAGCTAAAAGTTAACATGGCTTTCAATGAGGCACATGGGCAGCAAACACAATAGCTTAGCTGTAACTGTGACTCTGTCACCAAAAGAAATCACGGGTATTTTCCTATCATATTATCGCTCTCGTGGTTACCCCAGTATATTACTTATGTTCACTGTTACTTCAAAGTGTAGTTGTCCTATCGCTAGACTTTTTGATGTAATATCTTTAAAAAAGCAGACATATCCCTATACCAAATAGGTTTTGTAACATTTGATAACTGCATTTTAATATAGTTGGCCTTTCTAGTAATTGTACACAGTTTTTAGTTTATTCTGAGATGGTCTGGGCTTCAGCAGATGGAGAGTTGTTTCCACGATCCCATCCTAGTGGAAAAACGCCCAAGTGTGAACCAGAGCGCAGGGGCCTTGAGGTCTTCGGCCTTTCATGGAAAACAAGACAAGTAAGCCTAAAGGGGGCACGAATCCCCCAAACCTGGGCTGAAATGTTCAACACTGGTCCATCCTCGGGGGGCCGCCTGCCTATCACATCTGTGCTGGTTTCCAGGGACACTCACTTTCCCTCACGCCTGGCCCATTTACAGAGAAAACAGGCAGAAAAGCCCCAGGGACACCCAGGTCAGCGGTGACCCCAGAACTCTCCCTACACACTGGCACCTGTACTTGCATTCAGACAAGGCTCTGCAGGAAGGGCTGTCAGATGTCTGCAGAGCCAGAGCCTGAGTGCGCTCTGCACCTGAGTCTGAGAGAACAGAAGTAATTCGGGGAAGAGCACGGTCATCATCGTAATGCTAAATAGTGTCACGGATGCCTTCAAAGATCTACCAACCCCCTAGGAAAAATGCAGAAGCAGAGAAGAAGGCTCCCAGATCAACACTGCTGACCAGCCTTGAGAGACAGGGCATTTGGAAAGAGGGAGAAAACAAGCCAGGTGAAAAATAAAGTCACAGAGCAAAGAGCTCCCAGGAAACAAGAGGGGAGGAAAAGCAGAGGAAAACAGTTACGGAGGCTACATCCAGGTGCCTAGCAATCCCGTGTCAGAAATCATCAAGGAAGCAATGAGATCCCCAAATAAATGGGCACAGGTGTGCAGACTGTGGGGATTGCTGCGTTATAAACAGACCCAGGGCAGAACTGGGTCAGAGCATGACCGGAAACTTTCAACACTGCGGAATAAAAAGGCCACCACTGACGAATTTGTTCCTTCCATGGAGCCGGATATAAACAGGCCCTGAGCTTTTCCTCAGCAACACTGGCTCATGGGAGCAGCAGACAGTGACCAGAACATCAGGAACCCTGGAGTGCGACATCCGCCTGCCCCTCAGCAGACAGACCTCTGAGCCACCTCCCTGTCCCAACCCCACGGACACCTGCCCAAGGCTGATGTCAGGCAGAGAAAGCAACCCAAGATTGGGATGTCGCAGCGACGTATGGAGAAAAGTGAGCTCCCTTGACTTCTGAGAAGCACCAGAAGCAATAAAATACCGAGAAAGATGCGCTCACCGGGACACGTGGAAGGGTCCCTCCCTGCTATAATGTTTACGATAAAATCCCACCCTCTCTACTCCATAGTTTGAGTCACAAACCTTTCTTCTGCGGTAAAGAACATTTATGGAACGGCGCTGTAAATGGCATTTGTTTCACGTTTTAAAGCCAACATGTTGACAAAGCTGTGAAAAGCCGTGCAAATTCTTAAGCCTTGATTTCTATTAAAAATACCATATAGGAATGGAGCGAGGGACATTTTCTTTCTTGCTCAGAAGGGAAACCGAGGAGGGGCTCGCCAGTGCTA